TGGGCAAGGCTCAGACTCGCTCCAGCATTCCCAGAGCTGCTCCATCACCCCATTCCCACCCAGACACCTCCTCCTCCTGACTCCTGCTCCTGCTTTCATTTCAGGAACACGCTTTTGAAAGCAGCCAGAAGTATAAAGAAGGCAAATACATCATTGAACTAGCTCACATGATCAAGGACAACGGCTGGGATTGAGGGGTGGAGGGGAGCCCAGCCCCAGCAGCGTGCGAGCGATGCCATCCAACCGAACATTGTACCCGAGAGTGAGAGAGTGACTGAACGCTTGGTTCCATGCATTTAGAGGCTCTGCAACCCGGGAGCATCTTCACACCCTTCTCCATCTTTATTGGTGACTGGCCTCTAAATTTCTGTCTCTCTGTCTCTTCGCTTTGTATCTGTTTGTGAGTTGACCCTGGCTGCTTCTCTCTCTGTTCTGGCGTTGGCTCAGAGAATGCACCGAATGCCCGACAGCCATTCCACGTGCCCAGTGCTGGATCCAGCCTGACCTGGGCTCTCCTGGCACCTCCCAGGTGTGGGAGGAACACCCCGAGGTTTGGGCAGAAGGTGGGAGAGGGGTGGGGGAGCGGGGCCCGCGTGGGAACCGTCGGAGGGTGATGCTGTGCTTCTCCTTTCAGTCCTGGCTAAGCAAGGCTTGAAACCATCTCCTTGTCTAAATGGACAGAGAAATGCCTACTTGTCTAAATGGATAGAGAAACATCTCCTTGTCTAAATGGATAGAGAAACACCTGCTTGTCTGAGAAGGACAGAGGAATATCTCCTTGTCTAAAAGGACAGAAATTACCTCACGGCTGCGTTTCCTCTCCAAATCCCGAATCCATCGGCGGAGCCTCAGCCCGAGCCAGCTGAGCCCGAGGCAGAACCAGTTCCCCCCACAGTCTGTGTTTTGTTTGCTGTTTATGAGCTCGTTGTTGGAGGGGGCAGGACCTGGAGGCTGGAGGGATTCCCTGCCTCTCCTCTGTGCTCCAGGGTAGGGAGGCCGAAGGTCCCAGCGGAGCACGGCTGGAGAAACCAAAGCCTGACTCGTGAGCCCTGCAGAGAGCAGAGAAAACCACCCCAGGCACGAGGAGGCTGGAGCTGCAGCCTGGAAGATGTGGCAGGGTGGAAAAAGGCACGTGCGAGGCAAGGAGGGGGAGATTCCACAGAGGAGGATGGGGACAAACAGTGACAGAGGGCACCCCTGGATTTCCTGGCCTCCCCAAGCACCCTTGGCGGTGTTTTCCCAATCTTTCACAAGTGCAAGGAGGAAAATGTTGTTACAGAACCTTTTCCTTGAATGCCAGGCTCCATGGGGGGAGCCTGGCACAGAAATGGGGTGAGGGGGGAGCCGAGTTCTGGCGGTTGTGTTGCACAGGGGATATTTCAAGCCCTGAGGTATCCTCCCCAAATCACCCCCCCCTTTTCCCATTCCCAGAAGCCCGTTGCAGGCACGGGGAGAATGGGAAAGAAAAAAAGAAATGAAACATCTTCCCACCACCCCTGGAATGATCTATGCCTTGAGGGGTGGATGTGGGTGTCAAAACTGCAAGGGACAAGGAGTCCTTCCCATTTTAATTTTTCCCTGGTGATTCCTGAGCACCTTCCCGAGGGGGGTGGTGGGGAAGGGGAGTTGTGTGTGGCAGGGGAGCTGTGTTAGGCCAAAATAAAATGAGGAGTTTGCTCTGCAGCAGCCCAGCCATTATCTGGTGCATAACCCAGGACTGTTGAGCTGAGTTCTTTTTCTCTCCCCCTGAGTGAATTTTTCTTTTTGTTGGCAGAATTCTTGCAAGTAGGTTAATCCATGGGGGGAAATCTTCCTTAATCCAGAAGGAAAGAGTGTTGTGCAGGGGGTGGTGACTCCTTATGAAACAGAAGCTTTGGAGCTGTAATCTGTTGTCACTGGCCCCCACCCCTGAGAGATTCCAGGGGGCTGTGGAAAAGTCATTTGATGTTCAGTTGGCAGGGAATGGGAACAGAGATTCTCCTTAAGGATCAGGGTGGAATTCAGGGTTGGATCCTTGTGCTGAAAGCCAAACCTGATGAAGCAAAGGTTGTTCTTTTTTTTTCTCTCAAAGCTCTGTTCTTGACAACCTTGGAGAAATGAGGTGGAGTTGGCCGGGCTCCTGCAGGGTTGGAATTTGTGACTAACCTGTCCAGAGGTGGCTTCTGCCCTCACCCTTCTGCTCTGGCTGTGTAACAATTGCTTCAGCTTTTGTTTTGGATTGTCTCTGCTTCTGTCAGCCACATTCCCTCAGTGACAAATCCAGTAAAAATCAAAAATTCCACAGCACCTGCTGTCTCGTGGACTCTGGCACTGACCTGGTGCCATTTCCCTGTCCTTTCATTGAGGATCCATGGCAATTTATTGGGTTTTCACTAGTGGGAAGTAATTCATGTTCTTCAAAGAGCTCTTTAGTCTCCACAGAGCCTTTAAAGGAGCTGGGAGAGGTAAGGGATCATCCCAAATCCTATGAGGTTGAGAAGAGCACACAAGGCTCATGGTTTGATGTTGGCATTTGGAGTGACTGCTGATCAAAAAGCAAAAGAAAAGGCAGGGCTGTGCAGAGAACTGCTCTGAGAAATACCAGCTCCAGAGAGCTGCCAGGTGGAAATGGTTTTATCCATTCATTTGGGACAAAAAAGGACAATGCCCCATCGGACCTGGCTGGTTTTTACTGCTCACAGGTGTTGGGCTTCTAATGGCAACCAGTCCAAGCTTGAATAGGGCAAGGTCTTAATCTGCTTTTAATTGGTTTTGTCCTGTCAGTCTCTTGCTGAGAGCCAGGCCCTGAGCCCTGATGGAGCCCAGTGTGTGTGGCTGTGGTGTCCTGCCCAGGTGGGAGAGGAGAACTGTGCTTGTGCAGCTCCTGCGTGTGTCCAGCGAGCAGGAACAGCTTCATTTGGCTGCTGATTCCCCCTGGGAGCCGGGGGCTGGCAGGAATTTGGGATCTGTGCTGGTGACACAGAGTGACACACTCAGAGATAACCAAAGAACTTCCCTGCTGAGCTGAGCCAGGTGGGGCCTTTTCCCAGGAGAAATGGAGATGTGGCCCATGGAAGCTGCTTCCTGAGCTCGTGCTGCTGCTTCCCATGGGCAGCATCCTCAGGAAAACACGGACAGCAGCGAGTTTTCCTCCTTTTTTTGGTGTCCAGCCTCGTGTCTGGGCAGCTGTGAGCACCCTTGAGAGTTTACATCCCCCCCTCTACCCCTAAGCTCAGACTTGAGTAAGTTTTAAATTGTTTTTGCTCTGGTGGATTGTCTGGTGTGAAATCCTGACCCTCGTAAGAAATATTCAGATGATAATATATACAAAGCAGAAAAAAAATAACCCCCAGACGTTATCTTGTGAACTATACTTTTGTAAATAATATTTAATTTTTTTTAAAGAAATAATATATTTGGTGCTGTTTTCTCAGAGCCCCTCCCTGAGAGCACTTTTTTTGTTGTCGTCGTTGTTGATGATGATCCCGTTTCCTTCTGTATTCGTTGGAAAATATGTTTAAAGGGAAACAAAAAAAAAAATCATAATTTATGTTGTCCTCTGAAGTGGATCCGTGTTTCCTGTGGATGTGGCAGGAGGGGGACAGCAGCCCCCAGGGGGGATATTTGGGCTGGGAGGGGCTGCAGGACTCAGGAGAGCTGCAGTTCCCCTCTGGCTTTCCCTGGAGCCCAGATCCCCCCTGCTCCCAGAGGAATCCCCCCGAGCCCAGTGGGGCTCCCACTTTTCCCTGGTTTGTGGAATCCAGGCCTGGAATTTTCCCTTGCACCAGGATTGGCTGGAGTGAAGTAGATCGGGGGCAGCAGGGATGGAGGATGGAGTTTTGAGCCCAATGTTGATTTTAACCTAAACCACAAATCTTTGGATCTTGGTTTTACTTTTGAGGGGAGTTTTTTTTGTTGTTGTTGTTGTTGTTGTTTCATTTATTTTTTTTTTTTAACCAGGCTGCTACGTAACAAATTAGAGTAAAAGTTTACCTCTCTTGGCAGTGAATTTCATTTATTTTGTTCTCCTTTCTGTCTTTAATCTCCCCCCTTCTCACCCTCCTTTGTTTTTATTTCATTTGGTCTCTTGTTTATCCCAAAGTGGACCAACAGCACAAACCACTGGACTGTGTTTTGCTGAGCAAGGAGCTGTTCCAGAACTGTTGCAGGCTCTTTAATCCTCTGGGTTTGGTGCACACGACTTCAAACCACACAGCAACAAAACCAACCGTGTGGAATAAACCCCGCTGTTCTCGTGATGATCAAGTGAGAATTTCCTCTGTATGCGTTTTTCTGACTGCTCCGTGAGTGTGTGAATCATGCATTTATTTCCCTGCACTTCCCTGCTTTGGGAGGAGCTTCCACGTGAAGTTTTGGGATGAAGAGGGGATACCAAACACCCAGCTCAGCTCAGTGGGAAGGAGCTCTTCCCACCACGGGAGAGGCCTCAGTGCTCAGAAACAATCAGGTTAGACAGAGCTTTTCTGCAGAAATCCTGGTGAAAAAGAGCAAGCAGAAGAGGGGAAATGAAATCATCTTGAATTCAGAAAAAAAAAAAAAAAAAATTAAAAATCAACGTATTTAAATGCAAGCAGAATGGCATTGTGTAAGGTACAACCACAGATAAGCTGTTCTCATCGTTACAACTGTGTGTATCCTTTGTTTTGTTCTTCCTAAGGAAATGGGAATGCTTTCCCCACTGACAAAACTAAGGACAATATTTCCAATACCAGCCTGTCTATGGATGCTCTTGTGTTTACAAATTGTGTATATTTTTATTTCTTTGATCTTATTTTAATTTTTTTTTTTTTTGCATATTCTTTCAGGTCATTTGCTTCAGTCATAAATGCAATTGTTTGTTTTCAAATAATTGGTTTTCACCTTTTCATGTATTTGTACATTGTATATAGTTCTTCAGTATTAGAGGGAGGCGTATTGTTTGTCATATTTACAATATGTGTTGGTGCTCATTTGAGAAAATAAAATTTTCAAGTACTAAAGCTGCTGGTCCAGGTTTTTGCTTTATTCTGTGCGTTGTTCCTACAGCCCC